TCCAGTATCATCCACACCTAGCACCAAGCTGAGTCAACAGACAGCGGTCCATAATTACATGTTGATTGATGGATTGATTTGGTAAGTTGCCCAAAGTCATATTTCCTCCAGGGTCTCTGTAGCAAGCAAATCCACAATAACTAGCTTTTTCAAAACCAGCTTGCTTTTCATTTCAGAAATACACAGGAATCCAAAGGGGGGGTGGGATCTAGATTTTACACTGAGACCTGGATTTGAATGCCACCCTTTTCATGATTCATCAAAGGACTTAAGCAAGAGCCCACCAGCCCACCCTGCCTTGGTTTCTGAATCTATGAGATCAGGGAGCTAGTTCCGGTACTTTCTGCTGTTCCCCTAACCTTGCGACACTTGGCCCTGCCTGGCGACAGCCAGAGCTACGCTGCCCAGTTGTTATCCGGTCTGCAGCTGCCCAGGAGTCAGCGATGGGCACCACAGCTGCTATTGAGGGAAGACGCAATGAGAATATTCTCATAAAGGAGTAGACGGTTTACCCTGGGGGGTTGCCAACACAGCAAAGCAAAGAGAAATCAACAATAAAATTTAAAAAAAAAAGAATAAGGACCCCCGGGGTTCTGGCTCTAATTCTGTTTCTGACCTGACTTGCTATCCGATCTTAAACAAGCCATTCAGTGTGGGTCTAGACCAAGTGTTACACAAATATAAAGGGGCATGAGCACAATTATTACTAGCAGTGATTCATTAAGGGTATGTTTGTCTGCTGTTTGTTTAAGCAGATTAAAAATGAGGTAACACCCTAAAGAAAATCCAAATCAGACCTCCTTCTCTGGCTCTCTCTCAGTGGTTTAATGCTGGTTGTTAAAAAGACAATGAGCCAGTGGTTGTCCTGTTCCTATCCAGGTCCCGCTCACTGACCCATTAGTCATATAACTAGGGGAAATCACTTCACTTTCTGGAACTTGGAGTCTGCGGTGGTTCTAAAACATATCCTCAAATTCTTTACTCCCTTCCCGTAAAGATATGATGCCTCACTCACCTCCGTTTGAATACAGCCAGCTCCGTAACTCACTTCTAACTCACTGAAGTACAAACTGCAGTGGAGGTGATGTTAACGCGACTCTAGGGCTAGGACTGGCACGTTCTCGCAGAACACACACCTTTGGACCCCTGAGCTGCCCTAAAGCCACCTTGCTGGAAAAACTGCAAAGAGACAGAGATAGAGAGAGATGCCTGTGCCCCCAGCCATTCCAGTTTCCCAGTTGAGAACCAGGCATATTCACAAAGGAGGTTTCAAGATGATCCCAGCCACTGGCATCCTGTGACTGCCCCCAAATTCCTGACCCACAGAAACTGTGAGATAATAAATGCCCGGGGTCGTTTTAAAACATAAGCTTTGGAGAGATGTGTTAGCAGCAATGGGTACCTAATACAGGGACTTTCCATCCTCCCCTCTCCAAGGAACACCTAAGGACTCAGCATTATTCAGGGGGTGGGTCTCAGGCGGCAGTCTCAAACACTTCTTGGGTTTCCATTATAGGAACCCACATCCTATGGTTTTCCTGAAACAGACTTGGGAATCCAAGGAGCTGGAGACTTCTAACTGATACTGATCTTGGGCAAATCAGTTCCTTCGGACCTCAGTTTTCCCTGCTGTAAACAGAAGAGGGTTTCTCTTCTCTTTGTACTTCCCAGGAATATAAGTTATACAATCTGGAACTCACAGGTCCATGAAGCATTTTGAACTCCTCTGAAGGTCCTGTTTAAATTCAAGTACTGCCATGACGCGTCTTCCCCATAAATTCCCTATGCGGGCTCAGCATCCTTCCAGGAGGCGACAGGAGAAAAGGCCTGGCTCTAGTTCTCCTGCTTCTGCTCTTTCCAGCCCTTGGCAAGTCACTCCACTGGTCACTGCTCTGAGCCCCATCTTGCCTGTAAGTTGGGTGGATTGGCCAATATCCTCTCAATCCCTTTCCGGCTATGAGATGCTACAAACGAGACAATTGAAAAGATAGGCTCACTGCTTCTAGATGTTTCCAACCAGTGAAGAGGCAGCCCAACTACTGCAAACACCAGGAAACGATAGGCAATTTAATATGAGATGGGGTGGCATTGAAGACAGGCACATCTGCAGAACCCAAGGCTCCGGACAGGGTCATAGAAGTTTCTTCAGCTGCTCTTGAAGGATGGTGCTACGGATGGAATGTTTGTGTCCCCCACAAAATTCATAGGTTGAAGCCTATTCCCCAATGTGATGGCATTAGATGGGGGGCCTTTGGCCAGTGATTAGGTTAGAGGGTGGGGACCTCATGAATGGCATTAGTGCCCTTACGAGAGGAGAGATGATACCCCTCTCCACCATGTGAGGTTACAAGAAGATGGCCATCTGCAAGCCAGGAAGAGGGCCCTCCCCAGCACCAGATCTGCTGGCACCCTGATCTTGGACTTCCCAGCCTCCAGAACTGCGAGAAATAAATGTCTGTTGTTTACACCACCCAGTCTGTGGTATCATGTTATAGCCGCCCCAAATGACTAAGACAGATGGAGTAATAGCCACAATCCTTAGTTGCAAACAACAGAATCCATTCTTGTTCATTTAAGGGGAAAAATGAGTTTAATCAAGACGATTAGAGAACTGGCAAAATGTCCAGGAGGGCCTGACTCTGAAGCCACCAGCCATAAAGTACCCAACCACGAAAAGGAGTTTCTTAGAGAAGACCCCACAGCCACTCTGGACCTAGGACCCTCTGCCCTGGAAATCAGGAGCTCAACCCTACACCCTCCAGAATCAAGGGTCTCTGCTGCCCCCTTGTGGTTCCCCTGATGGGGGTACCACCTCAAACCCAATTCTCATGTGGACGCGTCAGGTACAATTCAAGGCACAGAGGTCTAGAGATGTTTTCTAGCTTCTCCCTTGACAACGCAGGATTTGTAATGTGGGAGATACCCCCAATGTAGGGACGGTGTGCAGAGAGATGTGACCCAGGCAACAAATGCCCGCAAAGATGGGTAGAGTGTGAGTTAGGAGAGGATGGAAGAGAGGGAGCCCTTCTGAGGGAGGGGCCGGGCCAGAAATAATGCGGGGACAGAACGCCCCCTGGGCTGGTGCGGAAAGGCAGGCCGAGTGGCTGAGGGCACAGCCGAATGGAGTGGGGCTGACAAGCCATGAGCCCCACACTCGAGATGCCTGTCGCCTGGCTGTCTGCGCCCCTTCCTCCTGGCTCGCCCCAGTCCCGCGCGGTCGTTTGGAAGCAGCCGTTCTTCCCAGAGCTGGCGTTTGGCAGTTGGCAAGGAGCACCCCACCTTCTCTCAGCAGCCGTCCGTCTTGTCTTCCCCTTTCCATCGGGGTGAACACATTTCTCTTCTGCTGCACATGCCAACATACCTCAAATTTTGCTGGCAGCAGGTACTTCTCATGTGTTGGTTTTGGAACCTTTTAGCAGTTTGTCCTATTTCTCTTCCATCTGGGCTAGAAACATGCCAACCAGGATTTCTCTGGATTTTCTTTTCTTAATCCCGGGCTGCAACCCAAGGGAATGAGCATCCAGGACCCCCTGGGTCTCAGGATCCATCACCGCCTGGTACCTGCCTCCCCTCCCCAGCTGTCGCTGGGCACCATGGCCCTCGGTCCCCCAGGCGTAGTCCCAACTTGTGGTGACCTCTCAAACTTAGTGCCTGGAGGCCAGGTTATTACAAAGGGACATTTGAGCTTCCACTGGAAATTGGCAATATATATTCTTGGCAGCAGTAAGGACAGGCTGTGAAAATTCTTTTGGTGTTGGACTTCTTTTAAGGAGTGGAGTTTGGTTTTAGCATACTCCCAGGCAGTGAAATGGGAAAACCAGGCTAAAGATGGAGATGTACGAGAGTGGCAGGTGGAACCCAGAGTCCGGGGTCCAGAGAACATCAGTGCCCGCCACCTGGTAGGGGCTCAATAATCATCTGCCGCTTGGGTGACTGGATGAGGTGTCGCAGCAACACATGGTGACATTTCAGCTTCACTTATTAGACCGACTGATCCCGTCAGGTCTACCTCCTAACCTTCTAGGTCTGTATCGCCCCTCCCTGCTCCCCTTCGGCACCAGCTGGAATGCCTGACCTCAACCCCTCCCACCAGGCTCCTGACCAACTTCCTCCCAGGTCCCCTGGCCCCCAGACCCCAGCCTCTCCAGTCCACCCTGCAGACCATGGCTACTGTTTCTCTTCCTAAAAACAGAACTTCTAAATGTGGGATCCTGGATGGGACCCTGGTACGGAAGAAGAGCATCGGTAGAAAAACTGGGGAAATCTGAACAGAGCCTGAAATTTAGTTAATAGTAATGTATCGATGTGAATCTCCTAGTGTTGACAAATGTATCTAAGACATTAGCAATAGGAGGAACTGGGGGGATGGGTAAACTGAACTCTCTGTCCTATCTTTGCCAACTTTTCTCTGAATCTAAAATTATTCTTACAACACAAAGTTATACCAAAAAAGAAAATCTGACCATATCACTTGCCTGCTTAAAATTAGGGTGACCAATAAGCTTATCTACGAAACAGAAACAGACTCACAGACATAGAGAACAGACTTGTGGTTGCCAAGGGGGAGGGGCGTGGGGGAGGGACGGACTGGGAGTTCCAATTCTAGAATCCCACTCCACAGAAATACATATGCCTCAAGATGTATGAACAGGAAATATTGAAATATTGGGAATAATCTGCATGTCCATCGATAAGGAAATAGCTATATAAATTGAGGTAAATTCAGGTGCCGGGCCGGGGGAGGGAGGAGGTGGCAAGGGAGGCGTGGGTGTACGACCCCAAGGGTCCCTTAGCCCTGGGTTCTGGGCCGCGGGGCGTAGACGATCCGTTGGTGGGGTCGGGGTCTGGGGACGAGGTGGACGCGGGCCTGGCCTTCCCGGCAGCGTACCGACTGCCCTGCGGGGTGAGGCCCCGTGGGGTGGGGGCTCCGCAGGGTGAGGCTCCAGGGGGTGGGCGCCCCGCGCTGGAGCTGGGAGGAGCTGGCCGGTGGTTCCCTCCCGCAGACCCGTCGGCCCCAAGATGTCGTACATACTCCCGCACCTGTACAATGGCTGGCAAGTGGATCAGGCCATCCTCTCGGAAGAAGACCGCGTGGTCGTCATTCGGTTTGGACACGACTGGGACCCTGCTTGTATGAAGATGGACGAGGTTCTGTACAGCATACCTGAAAAGAAACGGCAGATAACGGGGGATCTTCCTCATCTTGCTGCGAGCCCTGTTTGGATACCCCAGCTGTTTTAAAAGTTAAAAATTCCTCAGTTATTTATCTTGTGGATATTACAGAAGTACCTGACTTCAACAAGATGTATGAGTTATACGATCCGTGCACTGTCACGTTTTTCTTCAGGAACAAGCACATCGTGATCGACCTGGGTACTGGCAACAACAACAAGATCAACTGGGCCATGGAAGACAAGCAGGAGATGATCGACATCATCGAGACGGCGTACGGGGGTGGGGGGGGCCCAGAAGGGTCGCGGCCTGGTCGTGTCTCCGAAGGACTACTCCACCAAGTACAGATACTGAGCCCTCGTCCAGTCCTGGTGCATACAGTGCCATGGAGTCATTGCCACGTGGAAATACTTTCAACTATTTAAAGCCTTCGAGAAAGCGTTTGGGAAAGTACACATAGCTCAAGGAGCTGGAGGGTTTTGCAGTGAGGGTGGCATTGCCTCCACTTTCAGTCTGCCTGGTCCTTGTATTTTTGTATCAGCAAATATCTGTAAATATCTAGCTGAGATAAATAAAATACATGGTGATGGGAAAAATAAAAAAAAATTTTTTAAATAAATTGAGGTAAATTCATACAATGGAATACTGGGTAGCCATTAAAACAATGAGGTAGATCTCCATGTATTAACAGGAAGAGATCTCCAACATATAATCTACGTCAGGGGTCGGTAAACTAAGTGCCACAAGCCAGATCCAACCCCTGTCTGTGAATGTACTGCCCACGAGCTAAGAATCGTTTTTACATTTTTAAATGGTTGAAATGCAATCAAAAGAAGAGTAGTATTTTGCAATATTGAAAATTACATGAAATTCAAACTTCAGTTTCCATAAATAAAGTTTTATTGGAACATAGCCACACCCGTTCATTTACATATTGTCTATGGCTGATTTTTTAAAAAATAAATTTATATATTTATTTATTTTTGGCTCTGTTAGGTCTTTGTTGCTGCACGTTGGCTTCCTCCAGTTGTGGCAAACGGGGGCTACTCTTTGTTGCGGTGTGCGGGCTTCTCATTGCCGTGGCTTCTCTTGATGCAGAGCACCGGCTCTAGGCACGTGGGCTACAGTAGTTGTGGCATGCGGGCTCGGTAGTTGTGGCTCGTGGGCTCTAGAGTACAGGCTCAGTAGTTGTGGTGCACGGGCTTAGTTGCTCCACGGCACGTGGGATCTTCCCAGACAAGGGATCGAATCTGTGACCCCTGCATTGGCAGGCGGATTTTTAACCACTGCACCACCAGGGAAGTCCCTAGGCTGATTTCTTGATGCGGCGGCAGAAATGAGTACAGGTGACAGGGACCATATGGTTCCCAAAGCCAAAAATATTTATTATCTGACCTTTTACAGAAAAGAAATTGCTGACCCTAATCTAAGTGATAAAGGGCAAATCACATATTGTATATGTATAAAATTCCCTTCATAAAATATGCTCATAAAAATTATATATATACATATATGTATTTAAGAATGTAAATTAATAGAAGAAGGTATGGGAGGACCCACCCTAAATGGTTAACAATGGTTCCTTCTGAAAGAGGACCAGGATTAGAGAAGGAAAATGGATAAAGGGAGATTACATGTTTTATTACTTTATATTTATATATGTATTTATAGCCTTTCAATTTTATACTGAAAAAGTATGTATATATCTCTCCAGTCAGTTCTTGTCATTTGCAGTAGTTATGTTCTATAAAGTCAATGAAAACACTGAAATACAGAACACTGAGCCGTTGCTTCTAGGGGAAATATGAGGTCAGGTTCCTGAGAGTCTCTGGTCAAAATATTTTCATTAGCCAATCAATCCATAACCTTGTTTTATGTGTGATTCTGTATAAAGACACCTGATTTAACATATTTTGTTGATCCATTAACACTGAACTCACAGCCAACAGCTCTGTAACTCAGACCTCAATGAAGCTTACCTAACACGTATTTTTTCTGTAACGCACATCACAGCCTTCTTTGATTTAGCAATACTAGACAGATTTTTCAGCACTACGCTTGGGGGCCATTTTAAACAACAAAATCACCAACAAAAAGCACAAAAATGCAAAAAACGTGGCACTCGTGAGATGGGGGAAAGGATCCTTGTTGACAGTATGAGAGCTGAAACAGCATCACTTTGTTTGACCTCAGCTGGGGCTGTGCTCATGGGTGACTCAAATCTTTTGTCCCTCTGCCCATGTCCACAAATGGCTGCGAAAGCACCATGTCTATTGATTCGTGGGTCACAAATAAATTTTAGTGAGTAGAAAAATCCACATAATGGAACTGGTGAATAAGGAAGACTGGGGACATATATATATATATATATATATATATATATATATATATATATATATACACATATGCATTGCTTTTGTAGTTAATCAACAAAAAATATGTTTACTATTTGCCCTTGACCAGAGTTGTCTGCAAAGTCTTTCTTTTGGGCAGCAAGCAGAGGGTCCTGAGCCATGCCTCTGATGGGTAGAGATGTTCATTTTTACATTGAGACAGTCCACCTTTCACCAGGACCCCCAACAGGGCACAGACAGCACAAAGCAGAGGACGTGTTAAGGCTTCCTCATGGCTGTTTCCTAAGTTGCAGGGTTGACTTCTTGGGTATCTGTGAACAGCTGTGTCCTGGACACACACGGTTGGGCCAGCCAGAGGCGTACGGGGAGGGGTTTGCCCCTCCTCACCCAACTTCCATTTCTTCATTCATTGATTTACTCACACCATTCATTCACGCAGTCAACACATTCATGAAAGACAAAGCATCACATGACATCCCTTATATGCAGAATCTTTCAAAAATGATAAAAATGAACTTATTTACAAAACAGAAACAGACTCACAGGCTTAGAAAACAGACTTATGGTCCTGGGGGGAAGGGTGAGAGGAAGGGATAGATTGGGAGTTTGGGACTGACATATACACGCTGCTATATTTAAAACAGATAACCAGGGCTCCCCTGGTGGCACACTGGTTGGGAGTCCGCCTGCCGATGCAGGGGACGCGGGTTTGTGCCCCGGTCCGGGAGGATCCCGCATGCCGCGGAGCGGCTGGGACCGTGAGCCATGGCCGCCGAGCCTGTGCGTCCGGAGCCTGTGCTCCACAGTGGGAGAGGCCACGGCAGTGAGAAGCCCATGTACCACAAAAAACAAAAAACAAAAAACAAAAAACAGATAACCAACAAAGACCTACTGTATAGCACAGGGAACTCTGCTCAACACTCTGCAATAACTTAAATGAGAAAAGAATAGGTATATGTGTATGTATAACTGAATCACTTTGCTGTACACCTGAAACTAACACAACATTGTTAATCAACTATACTCCAATATAACATAAAATTTTTAAAAATTAACTAATAACTAGTAAAAAAAAAGCACAGGGGCAAAAGGGTGCTGCTGTAGAGAAGGTGCCCGAGTCAAGTAATATTGTTTCCAGGTGGAAAAGCTGCTTTCAACTCTTCTCCTAAAATGAACAATGTAACTTCAGCACTGCACAGGGCACTAACTTACATGTATTCATCTGTTGTCTGATGGGGTTTTGATCTCTGGCTCATCTTCCCACTGGCCTTTTTAGAGTCCCGTGAGTAGAACTCTGTCCTCCTGTCCTCCACACTCCCACAGAGCTTATGGAAGAGCTGAAGGGAGGCGGGGGGAAATCAGAACTGGTCAGCAGGTGCAAGTCAGACCGAGTTAAGGCAATCAGACAGGAGAGAGAGGCACACCCAGGCCCACATGAAACGAAGTCTCAGCCTCACCTGAAGACATTAAAGGAATACCAGACCATCGGGGCTCTGGAGGTGAGGTCCGGTCCTTAGCGCTGGACACCACCCCTCAAGCTGGGGCTCCTACAAAGCGCTGTTGCCACCTTGTGGTGAGCAGAGGTGGGCCTCGGAGCTTGCTGACTTCTCCTGCTGGTTCTTCTCAGGTAACAAGCTCCGGAGGCTGACACATATTCCTGGAAACGTATCCCTCCCTAGGGCTTCGGCCACCCTACATCCCACCCCCCAGACTGTGCCCCAGACCAGGCTCCAGGGGGTGAACCATGTGGCCAGAGGTGACTCCTCTCTGGGCCCTGTCCCTCCTCTGTGAAGCTGCAAGTCGTACTGGCATCACAAGCCCCCAGGATCCCTTCTAGCTTGTAGAGTGAGGACCCGGAAGCTCTAGGCGCTGCCCCTCAAAACACTCAGCCTCGGGCTGGGGTTGCCCAGAGACTGTGCCCTGAACCAGCCTGAGGCGTCAGGGCCCTACTGCTCTTCCTTTGAGAATTTCCAGTCAGTGTCTCTTTGTAAGTAGGGAAGGTGAACATGTCTCTTTTGTGTCTGCACTCCACACCCAAAGTGGAATGCACTCTCTCCACATGTGGTGGCCAGAGTGACAGAGCAGGTAAGACCTGGGAGAGGGCGTGCAGGTGTCTCTGTGTGTGTGTGTGTGTGTGTGTATGTGTGTGTGTGTGTGTGTGTGTGTGTTCCGGTGCCTGTTTCCCTATGAGAAGAGACCAGACCTGGAGGAAGAGGGAGGTAACAGAGGAGCTGGCCTGCTGGCATCTGGGGAATCGAAAAAAGCCTGCTGGCTTTTCTCCCATGAAAATCGAGGCTGCGCCTGAGGAAGCAGACAGTTCCAGTTCCCAGGGGTGGCCCTCAGGACTGGAAGCAGCAGCCTTTGTGGTCATTGTTTCAGCTGCGGGTGAGACTTGTATTGCTCGTGACAACAGTAGCAGAGTGTCCTACTGCAGGGCAGGGACCCCAACCGGCGTCTTCCCGGTCCCCCCAGCAGATCCTGCACCTCACACTCTAGAACGCCCCTCTTCCGTCCCTCTGTCTGTCACCTGCACTGCTCTGTCCTGGGACCCAGCCGGTGGGCTCCACCCACGTCCCGTCCACGCCATCTCGGGCTCACAGCCAGGCTCCATCTCTGTCATGGTCCCTGAGCAGCACTGCCAGAGTTCCTGGGAAGAGGTGGGTCCTCCCTGTGAATCCAAGAGCAGTGATTGGAAACTCTGGGAAGTTTGGCTTTCATACGTTCCAGAGCGAATGTTGCCAAAACCCGCCCGGGTTGGATGGAATGGGGAGACAGGGAGAGAGTACCAAGGGGCTGGGGTGGTCACCATTCCACTGTGAGGGAAAACAAGCCCGGGTCTGGGGAGTCTCACAGGTCCCTAGGAGCACTGGAATTAATACATGAAACTTCTATACCCTTTGCAAAAGATGATGTCAGTAACACTGTGTCCATTTTACAGGAGAGAAAACTGAGGTGTGAGTTCATTCATCCATGAGGTTCACAGTTTCAGTAGTAATACTATTTATATACATATATTTTATACTTTACTATATTATATCTATCTATATATACACACACACATGCACACTTTTTACCTCTATTTCACATTTTTACTTTCCCATCATCGTTCTTGATCCCGACAGCTCTGTGAGACAGAAAGGTCAGACTGACAGTCTCTCAGCCCATGACAGAGCTCTGCTAGAACAGGTCTCCTGCATTTCTGGTTGGGAACACAGTTGATTGCTTAACTGCTTTCATTTCCAACTCACTGTCCCCCTGCCTTCCTTACAGAGTCCAGTTAAAGCTTCCCCCTGTCCCCCACCCCCGCCCTCATGTCATGCCTGGGTCCCAGGGGAATCTGATCCCAGCAGTTAGGGTGACTCAAGTCTCTTTGCTTGTGTTGGGTTCAGAAGCCTGGGTTAGGCCAATCAACCCAGGATATCAGCCTAGTGGCTGCTATTATCCAGGTAGTGGCTTAAACTGACCAGTTCAAACTGAAAGGAACTGAAAGTTTCCTCTCCTTCTCTCTGGACGTGACCGAAGAAGCAAGTGCTAGAGCTGCTTCTGGCAGCCATCTTGCAGCCATGAGGCGAGTCAGCCTAAGGAAAAGAATTAGAAGAGGGCAGAGTAAGCAGGATTACAGGAAAACAGAATTAGTACCCTGATAAAACCCTACCTGAAGCCCTAGCTCTGGGCTACTTGTTAGATCCTATAGTAAACTCCTTATTGTTTAAGTCAGTTTGCATTGACTTTTCTCTTCCTTGTATCCAAAACCACCTTAATGGGCAGGTCTGGACGGACACACTTTCTCCCGCTTCTGCTGTCAGACTTCTCCTTGCTTTCCTCTGGCTCCTGTCAGAGCCAAGTCAGCACACATTGAAAGGGCCAGGGCGGACTAAATGCGTCTCCTGGACACCACAAATGTCTTTGTGGTATCTTAAGACTTTAAAAACTGTGCAGGGAGCTGCGGCCTAGCTCGGTCCTGCTTCCCATTAGGATAAACACATCCCTCAGCAGAGCGACCCATGCCCAGCTCCAGAAATAGCCTGCCCACCAGAGAAAATGCACTTTATTTGACAGGCTTCCACAGCCATATCATTATCATATAATCTCTTTTATCCACCCCTTTCCCCTGCCCTGGAACTCAAATTGCATCTTTAAAATGTCTAAATAGCAGTTTGGTGATCTTCAGTGATGCTATACTTGATACTGAGCTGGGAAAATCAATGTCAAATGCCCGACTTCAGAGAAGTTTGGGTGAGGGGTGAGAGGGAGGTTTTCCATCCAATTACTTTTCTGTGAAGACATATGGGTTGAAAATACTTGACAAGGGACTAAGTTTCAACGTCCACAAGTCCAGCTTTTGACTTCCTAATCACCAACATCAACCCCACAGACCTCGCCTGAGCGCCTGTGGGCGACTTTCCACCCTCATTTCCTCCTACAAAAGTAGGAGTAGGTGGGGGACTCCTTCTTTTGACTTCCTCCTCCCAGGCTAGCACAGCCCTGCCTGGGTGCCGATGCCCCAAGGGCTCCAGGAGGAATCAGGCAAGATGCAAAGAGGCAGCCCCAGGAACAAATGGTGACGGCGTCCAAAAATGCCCACTGGTAAGGGACAGCGACAGGACTGTGTCCCTAGGGGCTGCTCAGGGCAGTCACAGTATCAGAGTGAAACACAGGAAGCTCTCCACAGGAAGAGGGAGTCTGCCCGGGGGGTGTGGAGGGCTGATGACGCCTGTTTCTGGAGGTGGGTGAACTCCATTTACCCAGGGCTGGCTCTGAGCAACACTCTGGGAAGTGGGCTGGAGTCTGTGTCCCGCCAGGTGGAGCTTTCACATTCCTCTTCCTGTTACTGAACACCTACTCCAGATCCTTCCTGGACCTGAGTGACAGACTCCAGCTCCCAGGGCTGAGCGAAAGGCCAGGGAGGCAGCCAGGATATAGGAGGGTGGCTTCCTAGAAGGGAATTAAGCCTTCCTTCTGCCAAATCCATTTCCAGCAGCAGCCTGGAGGACTTGTTGGGAGAGGAGAATGTGGGGCTTCTAATCCCCTGAGCACCCACTCCGTACCTGACACTGTGCTTTACAAGAATTGCATATCATGGAGATCACTGGGCCAATTTACAGATGAGAAAACTGAGGCTGAGAGAGGTCAAGGAACTTTCCCAGGATCACACTAGCAAGTAAAGTGGCTGGTGAGATTCAAGTCTAGGTCTTTCTGCCCCTTGAGGCCTGGCTTGTTGTACTACCTACCCTGCTTGCCTGCTTAGGTGAGGTGAGCTCTGACTTTCCTAACTGCCTCTTAAACTGACCTGGGGAAGCAAATAACAACTCCCTTCATTGGAGCCCACAGTATGCAGAATGGGGCAGGGGCTGGTAGTTACAGACCTAAAAACCAACCCTTTCCTCTTCCTGCAAGTTGCTCCTGATCAATGCTGGGCACCCCAGGCCATCGCAGGAGAAAGGGCAATATGGAACTTCCTGGAAGTTCTCAGGATCCCCACCGTCCCAACGCACACACATATACACACGCCTGCACACACAGACACACACAGAGATGCACACACAGACATACACATACAACAATCAATTTTTCTTGAGACCAAAATAAATGAGCGATATAATCGTATTTTCTTCAAGATTTCTGGAGTATCAAAAATAAAATTAAAAAAAAAAGACCATTATCCCTACACTTTTGGTTGAGGAAAAATTCAATCATCAAAATGAAGTACAGAGAGGCAGAGCAGATCTGTTTCTCATGAAGAAGGTTTGGAGAGAGGCAGCTCTGCTGCGGGCACGCGTGTGTCCCAAGTGCCTTCCGTTGGTGCACGTGCTGCGGGTAGGGTGTTGTCCTGCTTGATCGTGAGCCCTCATGCAACTCCATGCGCCTGAGCGTGTGCGCCGAAAGATCCAGAAGCACCAGAGCCCCTCATCCGGTCAGAATCAGGCAGCAGAAAATCTGCATTTAATTGCAAATGTTGTAAAAATAATCATGCAGAAGACCGAGCTAGCATTGCAACTCTGTGTCCTCGACTTAGTGCCTGAGTGTGGGACGTCTTTCTGCGGAAATGCTTATCGAGCTGTAAACTCTAAGCCGAGATTTCTTCAAGAACGTGTCTTCTCTCGTTAGGATGATTTTACTTTGGAGGGTGTTCCCAGCCTTTTCCAGGAAAAGAATATGGTGGGGGACTTGTAGGGTGAAGAAGGGGGACAGGGAGGCCGACTCAGATGTGTCTTAAAGATGTCTTTGTTTTTAATTATCCGTGTCCTGGGCTACGGCGCAATCAGCCTCTCTCCAGAGTTTCAACTCAGATCAAATGCTCTGTGCTGCAGTCTTACTCTCCACCTCCCAGACGGCGGCCTTTCCCCATTTGAAGATTATTTATTGCTTCTCAACCACCTTTCATGCTGCTAAATGTTTCTCCATGCTCAGTGAAGAAAACAGCCCAGCGGGATTTTATTTTATTTCCCTGAGTGCCGGCCTGTCCTCCCACTTCATCCCAGGGAGCATTTTAGGCTCGACAGTCTGCACACACCCCCTCGCCTCCTAGGGCAGCTCCTCGGCCTGGGCCTGGCCAGGGAAAGGTCCCCAGGGTCCACTGGTCACACGGCTGCCTCTGGGCCTGCACGACTCTACTTTCAAAAGAGGGGGAGAAAGCAAACTGCTTCTAGAAGCTTGCTGAGAAGCAGCTCCGTCCGAAATGCTTTCCTTCCAACTCCTCCACCCCCCAGGATATCCAGTAGGTGGGCACCCCTCCTGGACTTGAAAATGCAGATTTAGCCTAAGTGGGGTGAGGCCAGCCACCACCCTGACTCCCCACCCAGGTCCGAAATAAATTTACACCTCCTCATTTCTGTCCTATTAATCAGTCAGTCTGAGGAAAAACAAGCCAGCCAAGCTGGGCCAGTTGGACGAGTCACAGAATATATGTTTTCAGATATTTTAAAATTAATTTTATTTCCTGCTCATATTTAAAATTTTGCTTCCATTACCAGAATGCAACTGTGCTGGACCTCTTGTAAGGAAAACTGCAAATTCTATAGTTAGATTTCCCTCACCCACCCGCTGAGACTCCGTGCAGCGCATCCTCATAGGCTGTAACCCTGGCGGGTGGCCAGATCCCAGCCCCTTCCTCCTTCAGGTTCTGATTTCCAGCTCTGGCCCTCATCCCTTGCCGGGCCTTAAGTCTCACTTCCTGGCCCGGCTTGGATGGCGTCTAAGGGGCCCTGAGAGCACCACCCACTCCCTGGCCTCGGGGGTCGAGGTGCCCCCATGTCAGCCTTGTCCCCCAGCTGCCCTGCTCTCCCCACCTTGCTCCTCCTCTTTGCAGCCCTTGCCCTTGAATGGTCCTCCTTCTTCCACTCCTGGGTCTCTTTAAAAAAACAAGAAGCCTGGGCTTCCCTGGTGGCGCAGTGGTTGAGAGTCAGCCTACCGATTCAGGGGACACGGGTTCGTGCCCCGGTCCGGGAAGATCCCACATGCTGCGGAGCGGCTGGAGCCCGCATGGCCGCTGAGCCTGCGCGTCCGGAGCCTGTGCTCCGCAACGGGAGAGGCCACAACAGTGAGAGGCCCGCGTACCGCAAAAAAATAAAAAAATAAAAAAAAAAACAAGAAGCCTAAAGAGCCAGTGGGAAAAAATTCTTAAATATATATTCTTTTAATATATGAATACAAACAATAAGTGAAATAACAACTACCTTCAAAAGTATCTTTTCTGGGCTTCCCTGGTGGCGCAGTGGTTGGGAGTCCGCCTGCCGATGCAGGGGACGCGGGTTCGTGCCCCGGTCCGGGAAGATCCCACATGCCATGGAGCGGCTGGGCCTGTGAGCCATGGCTGCTGGGCCTGCGCGTCCGGATCCTGTGCTCCACAACGGGAGAGGCCACAACAGTGAGAGGCCCGCGTACCGCAAAAAAAAAAAAAAAGTATCTTTTATGTAAATTAGTCTATCTCAATTTTTAAGTACAGAAAATGCTGGCAAATGTCACAATATGCTAGGAAGAAATGATTCTTGTTTTATGACTTTAGGTTTGTTTTTTTAAATTTTGTTTATCTGTTTTAAATATAGCAGTGTGTACATGTCAATCCCAAACTCCCAATTTATCCTTCCTCCCCCCGCTTCTCCACTGGTAACCCTAAGTTTGTTGTCTAAGTCTGTGAGTCTGTTTCTGTGTTGTAAATAAGTTCATTTGTACCTTTTTTTTTTTAGATTCTGCATATAAGCCATATCATATGTCTGTCTTTCTCTGTCTGACTTACTTCATTTAGCACAATAATCTCCAGGTCCATCTATGTTGCTGCAGTTGGCGTTATTTCATTCTTTTTAATGGCTGAGCAATATTCCATTGTACATATGTACCACATCTTTTGCATCCACTCATCTGTCGATGGACATTTAGGTTGCTTCCATAAGTTGGCTATTGTACACAGTGCTGCAATGAACATTGGGATCAAAGACCTAAATGCAAGACCAGAAATGTTTACAAGAAACTTTAAAATGCTCTCTACAGACAGAGACCGTAATAACAGCAAACACTCACTAGAGTTTACTGAGCTCCAGGCATTCTCCGAAGCACCTTACATGGATTAGTTCATTTACCACCCAGAACCCTGTGAGGTGGATACTGTTATCATCCCGTACGAGGGGAGCCAAGGAACAGAGAAACCAAAACTTGCTTGAGGTGACCCAGCCAGGATGCGGGAGGGCCGGGCTTTGGACACAGGCAGCTCTTAACAATTGCATTATTCTATCTCTCTAAGGAGAAATTTTCTCTAAAGGGAGAAAGGCTGATTTTTAGTCTTCTTACTAGTACAGTGATATTCCATTTGTAAATTGGTCAATTACTTGATAATCTCAACCATACAGGCCTCGATCAAGAACTGAAAACATAAGTAAAGGAGACCTTTGAGACACTAAAGAATGTGTCACAAAATTCAAATCCGAAGTTTCCTGAGGAGAGCCGTTCAGGCCTTCCCACAGGATCTCCAGATGATAACTCTTACCTTACCTACAGTCCTAACAGGCCTGGAGGGTGTTTGCCCGGCCTCAGCCTATTAGAAACAACGAATCAGAAAGAAGGTAAAATCAACCTTAAAGGGAAGCATGTTAAACCATAACATGGTGCCCAGTCAATTGGCTGTATTTATAGCCAATAGAGATGACATTTGTGATGAATTTTAAATTAATACAGGGAAATGCTTATATTCTAATTGTATCTAAAAATAAGCTGGAGGCAAAATTACATCTACAGTATGACTTCAACGTGTAAAACAAGCAAACAAAACTCAAAACGATGGAAAAAGAGAAAGTAGGAATATACCAAAATGCATTTTTCTCTAGATGCCATGGGTGATTTCTTTTTCTTAATTTCTACTTTTTTTGATGTTTTTGTTTCAAATTCTGTGTAGTGTGTGTGTAGTCTTTTACGAGTGCAAAAACTCCCCATAAACTTTAAGAAAGAGAAATAAGGAAAGAGGAAGAGAGAAAGTCCAGGGAGGTTGGGGGGAGGATGGAGGGGAGAAGGCCACCCCCAATCAGGTGCAAGCCCTACCACGGGTGATTAACCAGAGGAAGAGAAACTATTGCGTTCACATCCAAGAAATCAGAATGCCTGATGGTCTAGGTGCCACTTCCTGGAAGGGCAAATTGCTCTCCATAAATCAATCACCTTGAAAATATCACAATATAATCAACTGGCAATTAGAAAAATAACTACTGTTGACTAAGCACTTACCTCTTTCCATGCAAGCGCTTTACTTACAAAACCACTGGGCCTCAAATAGGCCTTGTGAGGGAGCTATGCCTTTCCTCAATTTACCCCTGAAAACCTGAGGCATGACAGTTAATATCCATTAGAGTGAAGGTTTGATTCTGTTCATGAGATCCAGCTAAGAAGGCCTAGAAGCAAGAAACCCAAAGTAGACAGATTCTCATTTAAAATATCAAAAATGAATGAGAGCCTTTTATTCGTTAAAAGGTGAGTTTCAAGTGTGAGAACCACTTACCTAGCACACCTTGTGGCGCTAGGTCATGGATACCTGGGGATTCCAGGTGAAGTTCCCTAGAAACCCTCCAGCCCCTACGTCCTGCTGGAAATGGGTCCTGCCTTCTAGCACCTTGAAGGGGTTCATTCCCTTCTGCGAGGGTTATACCTAATACTGCCCTAACACTGGGCTTCATGCAAAGGAAGCTCTCAATGCAAGGGCCACTGAAAGGTAAGAAGGGGCAAGGGAGGGAGGGAAGAGGGGAGAGAGGAGAGAGTTCTGTGACCCGGGGGGCCTGCCTGCAACTCTATTGCACAGCCCTAGCTACTCAGGGAGCCTCGGATAATGACATCCAAGTAATCCGTTAAAATAGAAATGGGATCCAGGAAGCCTGCTTAAGCCATTAGGTCAGCTCTCTAATGAGCATCGTGTTAGAGAGCAGTACACAGGAGGGATCAATTTTGATGAAGGAAGAACTCGGTGTGCCTGGGGAAGGGAGATTTTGAGTCTTTTCCTTAGAGTCATAGTTAATTTAAAATAAAGTTGTTTTCATAGCATCATAAATTTTAGCTCTGAAAGATACCTCAGCCATCATCTGGTTTCTAGTCCTATTTCCTTCTTTTACACATAAGGAAACTGAGTCCCAGAGAGGGGACTTGATCTACCCGGGGGCACACTGCGAATCTGTGGCCAAGCCTGAAGCAGAAATCACTTTCCTAACTTCTTGCTACACCAAACTCATTTTGACGGTGGGAACCTGAAACTGTAGTTTCTCTTCAAACCCAGCTTGCTGCTCCTCTGCTCTTCAAATTCTCTGTGAAGTGGGTTCCCCGGCCACATCCTCCTGCCCTTTCCATCTGGGATGGCTTGAGATAAGGGTCTTGCAAATGACCACCCTGTAAAACCCAAACCAGAAGGGGCCTCCGCCCTGGCCTAACCCTAACCTGCACCCAACCCAAATACCACGCTTTTTGCTGAACCACAAAAGGAACTAAAGTCTTTCAGAGAAACTCCCAGGGAAGTGTTATGAACCAGAACCAAAAGGATAGGCTTTCAACGCAGCTAGAGCAGAACAGAACCTGGCATGTCAAAATGTCCTCTGACACTGAGAAATTCCAGCTCCGGGCCATTAGTGGGATGTGGATAAAGAAGAGAGGAGGTAGGGGTAGGAAGAAAATTCTCTCCCGGTAGAGAGAAACGGAAGGTAGTGGTCAGCTACCCGCTGACATGCTCTTTCCAGGTCCAAGCCCTCTTAGGGCATCTGAGACTCCTGTTTATGGGGAGGAACAGAAAGCTGAGCTCTGTGCCTCCGTGGCATTGATCCTGGGGGGTCAGACACCAGACACTCCCTCCTGACAGAGGTGAAGCCCGAAGACAGAAGGAACATCAATGTTGTGTGTGTTTTGTGCAAGTGGTTGACCTGTGCTCTTGGTTATAGAGGTGATGCTGAGTTAGAAGACCGTACTCAAAGAACCCAATGTGAATTGTATCTGGCTTCCCATCAGAGGGGCAGCATTTTAGGAATCTAGCAACTCGTTACATTGAGGTGAAAGTGCACATACATAACAACACATGTGCACTTCTGTGAACCGCTGGAGCTTGTACCTTGGGAATGTCAACGTATCATTTGAGGCCAAACTCTCATTCTTCTTTCACTTTCCAAATCAGTGTCCTTCCCTCCACTGAATACACCTGATTATTCCACACACCCCCATGGTGGAAACAAATTCTCTCCTCTGAACACAGACGTAAGTACAGCTATATTTCTCCTAAAAGGGTGAATCTCTTCTAGTTCTGATTATGGTTCTAGATGTCTGTGAGCAACTTGGGGAAAGGTCCCCTGCCTGCCCTTGCTCCCCTCACACAGCACCCAGTGTGTGACAGCCACACAGTGAACGTTTACCAAATGAACAAATGGATTTTTAAGGTTGCTACCTCTTGAGTGTGGATTCTTAGCCTCCAAAGATGGGCTAAAGAGGAGTCATAAACCCTCTGAAATCATATGCAAATTTATGCAGACAGTCCATGCATATGTGCTGTGTGGGGAAGAGTCCAGAGCTTTAATCAGATTCTCAGGGGTATCCAGTTTCCAAAAAGGTAAGAATCATAGCTCCGGGATTGCTGTGAGGACAGACCAAATGACATGGTGCCTGTGAGAGAGCTTGGAATTCTACCTGGGGAATGTCTCGTGCTGAGCTCCTGGAAGTCGGCAGACAGGCCACGCTTCCACTCTCTCCCTCTGTTCACACCTCACTCGACAGTAATAACGTTAATAACTACCACCATTTTTCAAGGGCCTATTGGGCACCAGGCTCTGCTCTAGTGTTTGCTGCATTACAAATGAAGAAACCAAGGCTCAAAGAGGAGGAGGTCACTGAGGGTCACAGCTGGTGAGTGCAGGGCTGTGTTCTGAACCTGAACCTTACTCCTCTGAGGTTGCTAAGAGGACACATGCAAACAGGACTCCAAATAGTGCTCCTGGGATGGCAGGGAACTCCAATTAGAAACTCCCAAAGTCCCAGCTATATAAAGTGTGTGTGCATGTGTGTGTGTGTGTGTGTGTGTGTGTGTGTGTGTTTTGTGTAACAAGAGATGGATAGATGGATGGGTGTGTGGATGGATGGATGGATGGATGGATGGATGACTGGATGGATGGATGGGTGGATGGGTGGATGGATGGAGGGACTGGGGAGAGAAAGGAACCCACCTTTAGCTTCTTCTAGATGTTTATCATCCAGATTCATAGGTGTGGCACAGACTCAATCAAATTGACACACCTTGATTTGGAGAACAATAAAGTCAAACAAGAATACAATAGTCTATGTTATGGGCTGAACTGTACCCTCCCCACCAAAAAAATTCATGTGTGAAGTCCTAACCCCCATACCTCAGAATGTGACTTTATTTGGAAATAGGCCTGCCATGGACATGATCAGTTAAAATGAGCTCATAGTAGGCTAAGGTGGGCCTCTAATCCAATATGACTGGTGTCCTTATAAAAAGGGGAAATGTGGACACAAGCAAGGAGGACATCACATGAAGGTGAATGTGCCCTGCAAGCCAAGAAACACCAAAGATCACCAACAAACCTCCAGAAGCGAGAGGAGAGGCAGGGGACGGATGTTCCCTCCCAGCCCTCAGAAGTCCCGGCCCTGCGGACACCTGTGTCCGACTCCAGCCTCCAGGGACTGTAAGACAATCGGTGTCTGTTGTTGAAGCCCCGCCCCCCCACACTCTGTGCTGCTTTGTGATGGCAGCCCTAGGAAACACATACCCCCTCTCTCTTCCAAAGCAGAGTGAAGGTGTGAAAAGGTCCATGTGCGC